ATAAATGAAAAAAAAAAGAAGAAAAAAGAAAATGAACCTGTATGCAACCTAGTGAGTGTCTCGTGCAAATCTCTGGATGCATATAGAATGAATTGAGCTCATCAAAGCGCGATAAGTTGTGAACCTGTAACCAAACGAAGTAATGGTAAGAAGACTAAACCAGAAAATTTTACTCTAAAAGCATTAGCTTCTGGTTCTGATGATGTTTGTGAAACTGAAAATAACTGAAAATTTATGTGGCTCTTCATTGGCTACAAAGTAAAAAATAATTTAGGTTAAATTAGAGAGGGCAGCTAAGTCCCAATTTAAGTGCCTGCCTCAAGCAATTTGAAGTCATGGTGTAACAGTGCAAAGTTTTGCATCTGGGATAATCAACATTATGCTGGATTCAGTTTGGAAGCTGTGATGTGGTTGGGATCAGAGAAGGTAAAGTACTTACTTTGCACACAGTTGTCACTGTCCCCAAAGTGGATAACCACTATATCCCAGTTTTAGCTTTCAGTAATCCTATGCTAGATAACAGTATGTTAAAATGGTTGTGTTTACTTTTTGACTGCCTTGAGTTGCTGTACTAATTTAAGGAACGGTGTGCCACAGTTAAGTGTGACCAAAAGGATAATCCTAAATTTTGATGATTTTATAACTGGCAGACTTTTATAGTATTTCATATGCTTCTTTTTAGATCTTCCACCGCCTCCTGTGCCACCACCTTCTATTAAATCACCCACCATCCAGTCCAAGGCCCAGCTGGAGGTACGCCCTGTAGTGGTGCCCAAACTCCCTTCAATAGAAGCCAGAACAGATAGATCGTCAGATAGAAAGGGAGGCAACTACAAGGGCAGAGAAGCACTGGATGGAAGACAAGTTGGCGACCCGAGAACAAATCCAGGTGATGCCAGAGAAGCACAGGAGCAGCAAAATGATGGGAAAGGACGCGGCAGCAAGGTGGCCAAGCGCGACCTTCCCCCAACAAAGGCGCATCTCATCCAAGGTACCTCTTTATTTAGTAGCAGATAAGCTCAGCCCAACATGGCTTGCAAAGCACAATTAGGCTTACAGGGCCAATGAAAAGTGATAAGATTAAGAAATTTGTTCTCTACCGGCTGGCCAGATAGCTCAGGAGACTAAAGGCCTGTTTGAGGCTCAGATGGGAGACCCTGCCCCCCAGGGTGTGCTGGGACTGGGCGTGGTAAGGCGTGCTTGTAATCCCAGTGCTGGAGAGGCTGAAATTAAGAAGATCACTATGAGTCTGATCTGTGTAGTGAGACCCTGTAGACTCTGCACCAAAATACATTTAAAGGACAAAAAAGAAAGGTTGAAATTTGTTCTCTAATAAAGGAAGCAGGTATATGCTGCAATAATTATAATACAGTTACTTCCAAGACAATGATTCCCTCTTGAGGTGCCACTTCAATTGTATTTTAAAGGAATATATGAGTTCAAATAGGCTGCAAGAAGAACATATCAGGTAAAGAAAATGGGTTCAGAAAAGAATATGTGTGTGTGAAAATGTGTATTTGGTTTTAAGAGGTCTCCAGTTTGACTGGAGAATAGAATGCTTAAGGTAAAAGTTAAAAAAAAATCACTAAATTGAGAAAACCAGTGATACTGTTCTAAAGAGTTTGAAATTTATGACATAGGCAGTGGTAAACCAGAAAAGAATTGGATGAGAAATGACATAATCCAATATTTAGAAAATTAGCTCCAGTGAATGTAGAGACTGGAATCAGGTAGAACACCACAGAAATAACCTAGGCACAAAATTTTACAGCTCTGAATTAAGACAATAGGAATGAAAAAGACAACATAGCCTAGATAGGCATTTTAGAGACAGTCCCGGGAGGACCTGATACCTAGTGAAGTGCTACAATGTAAGCTGAAATAGCACAGAAGTTATTCAGGTACTCATTGTGCGGCCATGGATGACTGATGAAACACAATTATACTAACCAATGCAGAAAAAAAGCATGTTTCATGGAGAAAAAAAAAAAAAATGAATTGACAAAAATGCTGCCCCCCCCAAAAAAAAAATCCAAGAACAAAGAAAGTCACTAAGAATGTGGCGATTCTCATCACTAGAATGAAAGATGATGAGAAAAATTTTAAGTGGATGGTGGACTTTAGAACCAGCAACACAGAGAAAATACTTGTGCAAATGATGAAAGCCAAACAGCGGCAGGGATAAGCTGGCAAGCGCTTGGCAGCCCATTCTCTGGGGGGCAGAACAAAAGGAAAGTCCAGTTTGTACCCATTTTCTTGCTCTAGCTTAAATACAGGAAGCTAAATTTAAGCTACAAAGGTGAAGTTAGTGATTGCAATGGCAGGAAGAGAACGGTACAGTGGCACCTTAGCTTACGAATGTCTGCAACGAGTTGCGAACCGAGTTGCACAAGAGCTGAATCATATTTGCCCACGAAGTCAACACGCATTGATTTGGTGCTCCTCCAACTTGATTTGTGACTGAAATTATGAAAAGAATTAAATTTGCAAACAGAAGTACCAATGGCCAAATAGATTCTTGTGAAACATCACAAGATGTCGCCACTTGTTGGGGACCATCCTAGTTAGATGGTGGGAAGAAAATCTATGTTTTGTAAAGGGAACTGACAGTACCCAGCCTGGAGATTCCCAAGATACTCAAAATAATATCCTAGGGCTGGGGCTGTAGCTCGGTGGTGGGCTTGCGCATACGCTTGATACGTGGGTTCCACCCCCCATGCTCCCACAAAATAAGTTTCTAGAAAATAGGAGTGAGGAAATTCTCCCCAGAATTGTATAAAATGCCTAAGAGGTAAAATATCAATGCTAATGCACAGGGAAGATATTTTGGACTGTGCCGTCCGTGGCAATATTAACAAACCTTCTTAAGGCAGCAGTCAGAATAGGAGCGAGACTGTACAAGACAGCTGAACAGAGATCTCAGAAGTGATTGGCAAAAGCTTGCCAGGAGTTTGAGGGGAGGAGGAGAGGCTTGGGCAGGGTGTGCAGGAGGCCAGATCAGTGGACATGTTGGAACTGGAATGGAGTGATACAGCCAAAGGAGGAGAAGCCATGTAAGAGGAAGAGATGCAAGAAAAGGAAGCTGATGGATGGAGTTAGAGAAAAGTGCCAGGAGAGTGAATCTTGGCAAGGATGGGAGCCCTTTGTTAGATCTTTGTAAATTGTATCTTCGTAAGATGATTTCTTGTGGTCATCTGCTTAGTTATTTTGCTGAGCCCCTTCCACATAGTGAGCAGTTTCAATTTGTCCTGGGCCTGAAGTCTGTACTCTTAGTGCAGCAAGTGAAAAATACAGTTGTGCCTTTCCCTCGGGTATCTCAAGTGGATCACCATAAGCCCCAGTGACATCCCTACAACTCAAAGTTCAAAAAATTTGTTACTTTGTTTATTTGTTGTTTATTTTTATGGCACTGGGCTTTGGACTCAGGGCCTTTGCACTCAGCCTTTATTAAAACAAATTTTTTTTTTTTGTATTTTTAGGGAAGGGTCTACAGGGTGTTCAGTGTCTCATTACTAGATCGGACTCATAGTGATCTGCCTGTTTACAGCCTCCCAAGAGTTGGGATTACGGGCGCATGCCACCTGCCCAGTCTCCATCAATGTCTCAGCATGCCCTGGGGGCAGGGCTGCCACAGCAGGCCTGGGGATCGAATGCTGGCCCCTGCACCTCCTTGCAGGTGCTTTAATCCACTGAGCTATTTTACCAGTCTTCTTCTTCTTCTTCTTCTTCTTCTTCTTCTTCTTCTTCTTCTTCTTCTTCTTCTTCTTCTTCTTCTTCTTCTTCTTCT